CTGAATACTTTCATGTAGATTTAATTAATTGATTATATTCTTTTATACATATATACATACATACATACTCGGCTCTCCCATCGAATTCGGTGTATGAGGGTCAAGCAGATCAGTTCCTAGGAAACCGACAGCCCAACACCAGCACATGTATGTATATATGAGATTTGATTATAGTGGTGAAGGTTTCGTGCAGGACCATTCACACTTTTTGAAGGGCCGATTACAGAGACCTGGTGCACTACGTGCCACAAGATCCCCAAACGACCCTTCGCAGGTGTTTGAGTTCAGAGCTGTCCTTCTCCTTAGCAACTGGAAGAATTTAGAAAAAGCTATTGTATGAATAAGGACATTTTGTTTTGTTGTTAATAGTTATTTTGTTTTAATAAATTCATTTCGTTTTTGCATTGAAAAAGTCCACATGGGACGAAACGCGTCGCCTTAATACAGTTTTCCTATTGTCTTTTACCTTTACAAATATATAAATTTTTCATCAAATAAACTGAAAACTACAGACAACATGTTTATCGACGAGGATCAACTCGCACTATGGATGAACAGTATTTTAATGCATATATTATGTTTTCTAGCGATGGATGTCGCCAATAATCGCATTAATACTTCTGATTGATTCTATGTGCGATTATTTCTTTGTATGTAAATTATATGCTGCCTAATGTTTTATGTTTATAAAAAACTATCGATCCGCAGTACATAAAAAATTCCTATAAAAAAAACTACTACTAAGACATTACACTATATTATTGAACTATATACTTAATTCATGACATAAAAACTGAATACACTTGTAAAAATAGAATACGTGGATTTAACACATCACAAGAAATATTTAAATAAAATTCTCACTTAAAATTTTGAAAAACTTAGCGTTGCGTTTTTGCACGTTCCGAGATCTTACACAACCGTCAATAATAGCAGATATTCAAAAAACATCTTTCGGTCGGCATACAGGTATATCGTCTTCAAGTTTTTGATTTTATAAGGAAAAAAACACATGCCTGATGATGAATAGAGGACTATTCGTAAGTACTAGCATTTTAACATCAAATAAACTGAAAACCACAGACAACAAGTTTATCGACGAGGATCAACTCGCACTATGGATGAACAGTATTTTAATGCATATATTATGTTTTCTAGCGATGGATGCCGCCAATAATCGCATTAATACTTCTGATTGATTCTATGTGTGATTATTTCTTTATATATATATATATATATATATATATAGCTAATATTAGTGGTAAATATACACATACATATGAAAAATATATAAATATATACACATAGGTGCATACACATACATGTATATTTTTTGAATAAAAAATTCCAAGAGGATAGAATCCAGGTAGAACTCAATGTCCAGGACAGAGTAAGGATATAATAAAAAGGCTTAAACACTAATATTCCATGGTCATAATTTATTTCATTGGAATCGTTGTTTTTTTTTCTGTTTTCTTTTTGAATTTGTAGGTCTGATGAATTGGATCGTATTTACGATTCCAATGGAATAAATTATGACCATGGAATATTAGTGTTTAAGCCTTCATATATATATATATATATATATATATATATATATATATGAGATTTGGTGTGGACATAAAAATCAACACTCAAGACTGACTAAGTTTATAGTCTTTTATATCTACAAACTATATATCCCTGATTCTAAGCACTCTCCTACAATAAAGATATCAAATTTAAACGGCATAATTACACACATACACACACGCGTGTGTTTGCAAGGGTTTGGGACCAAATGAATAAAATGTTTATACAACTATTTTTATTAAGTAACTAACTTTATTTTGGAATATGCATTTATCAGTAGTATCTTTAGTCTTTCTTTTGTGTAAATGCAAAACTATTAGACCAATGATAAAATCTGAATTGATAAATATATGATGTGTAAAAAATAGTAGAAATTGTTCCATCTTATTAACATGCATGTGGAAGCCATTTTCGTTGAACATTAAACTTGATTTTTTTACACTAAAATCATGGCTAAAATTTTTGCGAAAACAATGATGAAGGTTTTGACTTTGAAGTGAAAGATGGCTTAACGATAGATAGCCAGGTGACTTGGAAGCAGTTTTCGAACGAGCCTAAAGATATTTACTACTACTGGATGTGTTTTAAGCACAAAGAAAACCGGAAGGTCACAAGAGTTAAATATTTACTTTAATGTCAGTTAGACATGGCAAATAGAAGACTGATTGTGTGTCTTGCTAGCCTTTACAAAAGGAATACAAAATGAACAGCCAGCCAAGTGAGAAATGAATGCAGTTTTAAGTTGATACAGTACACATGAACAATCAACTTGAACAGGCATCTAGCAAAAAGAACAAACAAACATCGGAATCAAAGACTGATGTGATCAAAAGAAGTACATCTAACAAAGGATTTTGGAAAGTGGCAATATTAGTGATAGATGCAAAATAGAGTTACATTCTTATGCAAGTGAATATGTAAAAATATGGTGGTGGACACGTAATGTTTCCGGGTTGTATCAAATTCGACGGAAGAAGAAAAGTGATAAAACTTGATGGAAAACCTAAACAGCGGGAACAATATTAGTTTACTACGGTTTAATCTTCTGCCCTACGACGAAGACGTGGACATTTTTCCGAACTGACGTTGCTCCTTGTCACACATCACGTGCAGCCAAAAAGGTTTCTTGTGGATGAAGATCTTCAACGATGTCTTATCTAAATGACTATTATGAAAGCAGGGCCCATTCAATATTAATGTATAACGAATCACAACAAATCTCTATTTCCTATGTCGTCCGTGTTTTTACGTGTTTATATATCTAAATATATTTACGTGTTTGTGCATTATGACGTGATTGTGTCTATCTTGGCATTTGTAAAAGCTCTCCCCCTGCCCACACCATCTAAATTCAGATCTCTTCAATTGTATCTAATTTGTTACGATGTTTGAATCTTCTTACATTAGCGTCTAACTGAAAAACTGGCTTTACGATTAAAACAATGGATAAATAAAACAAAATATATGTATATTTCTCCACTTCCTCCTCCTTCGAATAATTTTAGAATATTTTAAAATTAATGCCGGGTTAAATTTTAAATTTGTAATTTTTTTTTATTTTTTGACTTTATAGTGAAATTAAAAATTACTCAGAATAATTTCTAATTTAGTCTAAACATTAAGGCAGTAAAAATTGTATCAAAGTTTTTTTTTCTAATTATCATATACTTGTATTTTGATTGGTCATTGTAGATTACGTAACAATATTTCCTCCACTGAGGGCAGTTTGGTTGGTTTTGAACATTTTAAAACTCTTTATTCTGCAATCAACGCCATCACTTGACAAGACACCAGAAGTATTGAAAGGAAATAGCTATGTTTCTAGTGATAACACGTTTATGTTATAATTTTGAATAAATGCCATTTCCTCTACTCTGTGTTGAGCACTTTTTTAAGAGTGATGTTCTTATTGGGATTTTATTCCGTCTATCAGCCAGTTATGTGCCATGCGTGATACACGCTTAGACGATCATGTATCTTTCGATACATGATTGACGAGGCAGATTTTTTTTTCCCGCAGTAGGTTGCCATTTCTTTCTGCAGTAGACCAGTTGCCATCCAAAGCTATAGAACCCGGTACGTCCTGGTGGGAGGAGAAGAAGAGGATTCATATCTTTTCCAAGGGTATTATCACGTAAGTGAATGTAATGAATTCGACTGGAATTCGAACTCGACTCTCCGTTTCCTCAATCCGAGCCGTTATCCATCGTAATCATTTCTAGTTCTTTAAACCGTTTTTTGATGTTAAGATGAAATTTATCAAGGAAGGATCCATAGTTTTCTCTTACCCAAGTACTTTTGATCTCCTGCGAGATCATCATCAGGGGTGAATTACAATGTGAAACTTATTGCAACTGTGATCGTTGTGAGGGTGATATTAAAGAAAAAAAAAAGAAACATTCATGAACGCGCTCTGTTAAAATTATTTAATTATTATTTTTTTTTAATTTATCCGTTGTAGTTATGGAATTTGTTTGCAAAACAAGCGTCATACTATGATGGAGATAACCAGAAATTGGTAGAAATACAAAATGTCATTAAATGTTTGTTAAATGCAATTCAACAGGTGGCTGCTATACTCGTAATAAATTTTGTTTAGTGTTGCTTGGCTGCTTTTGATAGAGCGGAACAAACCTAACTATATTCTACACACCAAAATAATAATCAAAAATTCTCCTAGCCCAAATGGAGGATTGCATTTAACACACACACACACACACACACACACACACACACACACACACACACACACACACACACATATATATATATATATATATATATATATATATATATATAAAGAAAAACAGGCCACTTTAAGGTTCCATTGTAATAGTTTATTTCACCAGAGTCCTTTTAAAGTACCCTGGATCTTCAGACATCACTTTTCGTTTCACCTGGCGAAAGCGATGTCTGATGATCCATCGTACTTTAAAAGGGCTCTGATGAAATAAACTATTACAATGGTGCCTTAAATTGGTCTGTTTTTCTTTAAATTATTAGCTCTGAATTTACATTGAGCTCTCAGGATTTCCCATATAACTATCCATACGGATTACCGATTAAGTTTTTCGTAACTTATATATATATATATATATATATATATATATATATATATATATATATATATATATATTTCTTGAAGATTTATTATGGAGTAATAGATAACAAGGTAGTCTCTTTTTAAAATCATAAATCTACGTATATTTCTCCTATTACTTGATTATATATTTACAGTGTATGTGTGACAGAGTCTGTGTCTGTGTATTTGTGTGTTTGTGCGTATGCATGTCTGTTTACTCGCTTGTACGAATACATGTGCCTCCTCTTCTGCTTATGCTACACACATGCGCATGTATGTTCTTTTCTATGAAGAGGATTTGACGAAATAGTTTTTGGATATATCCAGCTGTAATCTATTTCCTGCTATGCTCTTTCTCACTCTTTCCTCACCTAGTTCCTTCTCGATCCCTCTTTTTGGGTTCTTCTTTTCCTTTGTAAGTCACAGCGTTCGTCGCTCATCCTTCTTGCCTCACTTATTTTTTTCCTACCTACTTTCACTTTCACTTTCACTTTCAAAAATTCCATATTATGATTTGAAGCTTTTTGTCTTTTCCCTCGCCAACCCGTTACTATTTATGCCGTCTTTTCCTTCCATTATTATTTTTGGTTGCTATTCATTTCTCTCGTTCTCCATTCCTACATTTCTCTTTGATTTCTTATCTATCTTTCTGGATCTATTTGCGACTTCTTTCTTTCTTACTTTATTTTCCTCTTTCTCTATTTCTTTCTTTCTATTTATCGTTATCATTCTATTTCTCTCGTTTCTTTCTATTTTCAATATTATCCGTTTCTCATCGTTCTTTCTTTCTTTCATTGTTTTTTTTTTCTTCAATCTTTTTTTATATTCTTGCTTAGCACTCCGTCTTTTCCGTTTCATTGTTTTGTATTTTGCTGTTTTTTCGTTACAAAATTCTCTTTCATTTTTCATCTTGCCTAATTTTTTCTTTTTTCTTTCTTTATTTCTTTCTTTCTTTCTTTCTCAATCAACAATATGCTCATATCTATCTATCTATCTATCTATCTATCTATCTATCTATCTATCTATCTATCTATCTATCCCAGCCTGTTCATATCTATCTATCTATCTATCTATCTATCTATCTATCTATCTTTTCTATCTATCTATCATTCTACATGCCTTATTCGGATGAATATATCCCAGTCTCTTCTAATCTATCCCTGTCTTTTAAATTAATTATTATTTTTACGCCGTCATCTTAATTTTTAATTCCGTTTAGATTAAATTTTTCACATTTTCTTAATCCCAAAATTTCCTTTATTGTTTTTCTTTATTTTTTCGTTACATTTTTTCTTTGTTTAATTTTTCTTCTTTCTTTTGTATTTTGTTGTATTTTCGTTACAAAATCTTTCATTTTCATTTTTCATCATTCATTTTTCTTTTCTATTTCTTTCTCAACCCACAAGATGTCCATATATATATATATATATATATATATATATATATATATATATATATATATATATATATATATACGTTTCATTAAATAATATAGACAAGTGTTGTCTATTTATTTTATGTAAAATTTTTCGTATCTTCTGATAAGTTTGATAACATTATCATTAACCGAAAAAAAAGAAATTCACAATATTTATCCATTATTTTTTTTAATAAAATCTAAGCTTTCGGCTTACTCAAGCCATTATCAAAGATGTAATTACAAACATATCAAACAATATACGGACACGACAGTGATGATAGTCTGTCATTGTTTAGTTTACATAGTGGATCACTAAGCAACGATGAACACGCGCAAATAAGACGCTAGAAGCGAAAATCGCACCGCATCTCATGACGTCACTTGTCTATATTATTTAATGAAACGTGTATAAATGAAAATATGCTGCCTAAATACACACAATATATATATATATATATCTGTGTATGCATCTAGTTTTGACTTTTAAATTTACTATTAATTTTATGTACTCGATTTTATTTTTAATTCCATTTTGATTAGATTTTTCACTCTTATTTAGACTTATATTAACTACACTTATATTTTTACACTTATATTACCTACACTTATATTTTTACACTTAGATTAACTACACTTATATTTTTACACTTATATTAACTACACTTATATTTTTCACACGTATTTTATTTCATTCAAATTCCCATCCATTTTTTCTTTATTTTTCTCGTTACTCTTTCCTTTTTTCTTCTCTTTTGTTATTTGTCTAGTTTTATTATTTTTTCGTTTTCTTCTGTCATTTATACGAAAAATACAGTCTTTCTTTCTTTCTTTCTTTCTTTTCTTTCTTTCTTTCTTTCTTTCTTTTTTTTTCACACATTGCTGTGTTTCCTTCCTTTCTCCCCTAATGTTTCAAATGGTTCCTTCCGCTTTACCCCTTTTCTTTCATTCCATTATATTCCTTCTTTCTTATTTTTCTTTCTTTTTTATTTATATTACACCGTCTCAATGTTTGTTTGCTTTTTCTTTTCTATTCATTATCTATCTATCTATCTATCTATCTATCTATCTAAGTCTCTTATCTATCTATCTATCTATCTATCTATCTAAGTCTCTTATCTATCTATCTAAGTCTCTTATCTCTCTATCTATCTATCTATCTATCTATCTATCTATATATCTATCTATCTATATCTCTTAATTTTCTATCTATCTATCTAAGTCTCTTTATTATCTATCTATCTATCTATCTATCTATCTTCGTCTATTCATTATCTATCTATCTATCTATCTATCTATCTATCTATCTATCTATCTATCTGTCTCTTAATTATCTATCTATCTATCTATCTATCTATGTTCGTCTATTCATTATCTATTTATCTATATTCATCTATTAAATATCTATCTATCTATCTATCTAAGTCTCTTAATTTTCTATCTATCTATCTATGTATCTATCTATCTATCTAAGTCTCTTTATTATCTATCTATCTATCTATCTATTTAAGTCTCTAATTATCTATCTATCTATCTATCTATCTATCTATCTATCTTCGTCTATTCATTATCTATTTATCTATATTCATCTATTAAATATCTATCTATCTATCTATCTATCTATCTATCTATCTATCTAAGTCTCTTAATTTTCTATCTATCTATCTATCTATCTATCTATCTATCTATCTATCTATCTATCTATCTATCTAAGTCTCTTTATTATCTATCTATCTATCTATCTATCTATCTATTTAAGTCTCTAATTATCTATCTATCTATCTATCTATCTATCTATCTATCTATCTTCGTCTATTCATTATCTTTTTCCCCTAATGTTTCAAATGCTTCCTTCCGCTTTAACCCTTTTCTTTCATTCCATTATATTCCTTCTCCACGTTCTCTAAACTTAATTCTACCTTCAAGATATACTATCATCTTTTTTTTGCTTGTCTCTCATATTGATGTCCTTTCTTTCTTTCCTTCTCTTCCATGATTTTTTTCTTTTTTTTTTTTTTTTTTTACTTGTTCGTTTATCGATGTTCCAACTCTTTATTTTCTTTAATAGTTTTTTTGTTTCTTATTTTCTTTCATCGTCTCCAGTTTGTCTAGAATCCTTTTGTCTATTCCTTCTTCTGGTTATATTACATAATTTTCATTCACCATGAAAATCGTATTTTCATACTTCTCTTCAATCATATTTTCGTTGTTACCGCATTTTTAACATCCGGGCTTCCTTCCTGCCACTACATGCAACTATTTATTCAGTAGTCATTTCTTTAGTTTCTTCAAAACGTCTTTAGTTTTCTGTCTTCTTCTTTTGTCGATGCGGCTTTTTTCTTTGGTCGTTTACTCAACTGCCAATTCCTTTTGTTGTTTGAAAATAGTTTTTCTTTTCTTTTAGGCTCTATGATGTTTTGGTTTTCTTTCAAATTTTGTAATCTAGATTCTTTGAAAAGGTCTTTTTTTTTTGTTAGTCAGATATTCATTCTTGAATCGACCTTTCTTTTTAGAACTTTCATTTCACTTGTTTTTTGCTTCTTTCTTTCTTTCTTTCTTTCTTTCTTTCTTTCTTTCTTTCTTTCTATTCCCCACTGTTCTTTCTTTCTTTTTTTCATACATTAAACCGTCTTAATGTTTGTTCGTTTTTTTCTTTTCTATTCATTATCTATCTATCTATCTATCTATCTATCTATCTATCTATCTATCTTCGTCTATTCATTACTTATCTATCTCTCTATTCATTAGTCATGTATCTAGTTCTATGCTCAGGCATACATATAATTATACAAATGTACGTACATACACATAGATATATATATATATATATATATATATATATATATGTGTGTGCGCGTGTTATTTCTTTCTTTTTTATATTAAACCGTCTTAATGTTTTTTGTTTTTTCTTTTCTATTCATTACCTATCTATCCTATCTATCTATCTATCTATCTATCTTCGTCTATTCATTACTTATCTATCTATCTATCTATCTATCTATCTATCTATCTATCTAAGTCTTTTAATTATCTATCTATCTATGTCTATTCATTACTTATCTATCTATCTATCTATCTATCTATCTATCTATCTTCGTCTATTCATTACTTATCTATCTATCTATCTATCTATCTATCTATCTATCTAACTAAGTCTTTTAATTATCTATCTATCTATCTATCTATCTATTTATCTATCTATCTATCTATCTATCTATCTAAGTCATAGATATATATATATATATATATATTTTAATTATCTATCTATCTATCTATCTATCTATCTATCTATGTCTATTCATTACCTATCTATCTATCTATCTATCTTCGTCTATTCATTCTATCTATCTATCTATCTATCTATCTATCTATCTATCTATCTATCTAAGTCTTTTTAATTATTATTATCTATCTATGTCTATTCATTACTTATCTATCTATCTATCTATCTATCTATCTATCTATCTATCTATCTATCTATCTATCTATGTCTATTCATTACTTATCTATCTATCTATCTATCTATCTTCATCTATTCATTAATTCATCTATCTCTCTATTCATTATCTATTATGTATCTAGTTTATACTTATTATCTATCATACACATCTATCATCTATTCATAAGTATCACACACATATATATATATGTGTGTGTGTCTATATATATATATGTGTGTGTGTGTGTGTGTGTGTATGTGCACGCGTGTGTTGTGTACATGAAAACTTTTTCGTAACCTTTTATGTCTTATTATCTGGATGTTTTGTCTAGAGCAACAGTTCACCAGCTCATTTCGTTTCTCTTTGAGATTCTTCAAGTGCATCGTATTTGCGACCTTGTGCCAGACTAAAACAAGCTAAGAAAATCTATTTGCCTTATCTTTTGATAATGTACTATGTAGATTTGATTTCTTGATGTCACAAGGAATTCATCGGGGAAACTTCTAAGAAATTAAATAAAAGACTATATATATATATATATATATATATATATATAAAACAAAGAAAGTCGAAAACTGTTTGTGGAGCCAACGGCCAATTTGCCAAAAGGCCTAAATAACTTTAAAGAAGAAAAAATCTCGAACAAAGACAACAACAGGAAAAACCTTAACGGCAACATTTTCCTACACTGCAAAATAAATTGCTCAATGCCTAAATTACCTAGACTGATCAAAACCGCTTCATGATGTTAAACCCTATCAAACGCGTTCAAGTCGTCTAAAGATCGCATGAGCGTGTATATATATATATATATATATATATATATATATATATATATATATATATATATATATATAAATGACAATTGAAAAACTGTAATAGTTGCCGACGCGTTTCGTCCGATGCGGAATTTCTCAAGGCAAAAAAAGAAATTAATTTATTTAAACAAAGTAACTAATAATAACAAAAACAAAATGTCCTTAGCAACTGGAAGAATTTAGAGAACGCTATTTTAACAATGTTAAATGAAAATTACGTCAATTACTGTCACATGTAGAGATATTGTTATTATTGTTGTGTTGACGGATTCAACCATTTCACGATATTGTTGTGTACGTTTGTTTGGAAGAGTAGCAGTTCTGTTAAGAAGTTGAAATAGGGAAAAAACAGGGTGTAGATTAATATTTAGGTAATATTCGATGGCGGCACTCTCTAGGATTTTCCTTCTGAGTGAGTTATTTTTTTTAATGACTATATATGACTAGTGCATTAGCTAAGTTGTTTTTTGTGAGGTCTCTTTTGTGTTCTGGGGGTAGACTGTTCTAGTTCCACGTGCCATGCTTGATGGATGTCAGTTATCAGTTATCTCCTGTTAATTTCCCTCTGAAATTTCTCCACTGCCTTAACCGGGTATTTAACTCACACTCTTTGGGTCCTGTCATTGCATCAAACCAACGCCTTTATCCACTGTGCCATGTGTCGTTGGTTAGATCCAGTGACAGGACCCAAAGACTGTGAGTTCAATACCCGGTTAAGGCGGTGGAGAACTTGGAGAGGGGGAATTAACAGGAGATAACTGATAACTGAGATCCATTAGACATGGCACATGGAACTAGAACAGTCTACCCCCAGTGAGCGAAATAAAGGGTTCAGTTCGACATTCTAACCACCTGAAGAAGGCCGGAGCGTACAACGGCCGAAACGTTCTGATAAATATGGCGACAAAGATGAGGACAATAGTACGAATAATGTAAATAATGTACATAATACCTCATCTCAGAAATATAGACAAATACTGAAGGGTGATAAATATGGCAACAAAGATGAGGGCAATAGTCCGAATAATGTAAATAGTGTACATAATATCTCATCTCAGAAATATAGACAGATACTGAAAGGCCGAAACGTTGTAATAAATATGGCGACAAAGATGAGGACAATAGTACGAATAATGTAAATAATGTACATAATACCTCACCTCAGAAATATAGACAGATTCTTTTTCCCAGTTTGTACTCAAGTAGTAAGATTACTCGACATTTCATCTTCAATGGGCTTATGAGTAACAATATATTGAAAGAAAAATTATCTGGAAAGAAAAAGATTCATTAATGTTGCAGTTTTTTGTGAATATGTATTAACTAGTGAGCCAGTCCAAATGACTTGACTCATTTTATAGTCCACCAATGGAACGTTAACCAATCAGAAGACGCAGAACATTCAATCCGTCGTGTATAAAGGCGGCCATTTTGTCTACTCTACCCGAATGTCCAGTCCAGTTTGTCAGGCGAAGAGAAACAGAAGAACGAACTATGCTCTGCTACTTTTACCAAAATATCCACTGCTAACCTGAACAACGCTTTTATACTGTCTTCGAAATATTCACTGCTAACCTCTGGATTCTATACTCAAAGACGATCGTCATCATGAACAACAATTAATATGTCCAGATTATTTTTATATACTTAGGAGGTTACCTCTTTAAACGACCGGATCAACAACCAACCCAATATACTTCATTTTATGTGTGACAACCTAATAATCGAGGCTGGCCTTAAGTTTGACTCAAATAATTCTGTTTTAATTAAAGCAGAACGTAATCTATTAAGGCGAAGATTTATTGAAATTACATTATTTTGTTTTTCAGTTTTTCACCGTAAATTTACATCCAAGTTGATACAGTATTTAACTTTCTTGTGTGCTATTTAATAACAAAAAAATAAAAATTATAAGAAGTTAAAAGCGGGTTGGCTTGGATGTACATCGAGACACACTGGATGTATGTAATTATAAAACTGAAAGTTAAATGCGTCTTTAGTTTTTTTCTCTTGGTGCTTAATGAATTGCCGACGATTTATTCTATTTTCTTCCCGCCTCTTAGATACATTATCTTTTGAGAGACGAATCACGTTAAAAAGAATATTTTCCATTCGCCATTTTTTAGACGTCTTTCTTATTTAAACACACACATACACTGAGACACACCTAGACTTTACTAGACTAGCGGCAATATCTGATCATTTTACAGTTCAATTAGCTTGACGCTACCTTAAGTTCTATGTTAATAGTCTCGTTTCTCTTCATGCTTTCGAACATTTCTTCAGGCTTCTTGTCTTCCAGTCAAGTTTGACCATCAAAAATTTAAATGCAACGCCATTATAAATACAGATCTTTTATTGTTCTACCTCTATAATACTGCCTTTCTTGTATCCTTTCACACTCAGTAATATATCTGCGTCTTAGTGGCTCTGTTGCCTTGCTTGGGGAGAAATGATAAGGAAAAAAAAGGGTAAAACAAAAGGAAAATTTATCTTAGCTGACGAGTTTCGTCTTCTTATAGACTTTATCAAGGCAAAAATATTTGCGTTGAAAAAGACCACCAGAGGACGAAACGCGTCGGCTAACATAATTTTTCTTTTTATCTTTATTCTTATTATCCATTCAGAAATATATGTTTTAGTCATATCTGAAATCTTGCATGCATATATATATATATATATATATATATATATATATATATATATATATATATATGTCATGAACAAACCATTTATGCAAACAGTTAATTAGCAATGTTAATGTGATTAATAGCGAAATCACTTCGAAGAGAATATTTTCACATGTACAAATATTGTTTATATTGTTGTTTTTACAGATTCAACCGTTTTCTTTTGGTTTTCTTGATATATTTCTTGTGTACGTTCGCTTGGGAGAGTAGTGATTCTGTTAGGAAAGGTGAAATTGGAAAAAAAACTTCAAAAATTTCACATTGGATGAAACGCGTCTGCTAAAACTACGGTTTTCCTATGGCTTTTTCCTTTATGCACACACACACACATACATATATATATATATATATATATATATATATATATATATATATATATATATATATATGCGTGTGTGCATATGCGTGCGTTCGTGCGTGTATGTGAAATTATGCACACAAAACATCTTTCATAAATAGTAAATACGCGAACAGCACAATAATTTCTAAGTATACCTGGAAAATTAAAAATAAAACATAAATAAATAAACAAGCCACTGCCTCCAAAATAACCGCCAGAGTAGATTACCCATAATGCACCACTGACCCATGTATATAAATAGCCGAGAAAAAATCCAACACTCTCGGCCTGACGATAGTGTCTAATATGAAACAGCCCGTGTTGATTTAAATGTTCACTTTTATATTTATATTTGCATACGCTCTATCTCTGATATTGACCACTTTATCCCGTAAATATAACGCACATTAAATCTATATTTCTTCATATATATATATATATATATATATATACACCTTTTCATTTAGTGAAACCGACACGTTAAGAAATTTTATATTGACAACACATACACAGAAAAAAATTAAACTAACATGGTATCAACATACTTCTCTTAAAAACAATTCGTTCCGTAACCGAACATCACTCTCTAATTATTTTTGGATTTAAAAGAAATCAATAAACCCCACAGTTCAATGGAAAATATTTAAAAAACGAGAATTTCTATGTCCTTAAATGACCCATGTCTCCTGTGTCAACATGAGAAGCTGCATATTATTAAGTTGCCCTGTAATAATAATTTCCTAAACCAGCTTAAGAATGTAACACTGGGGAAAACATTTGAATGTCGATGGGAGCCTTCTTTTAGAAGTATCCATCGCAACTATCTATCTCTCTCTCTCTCTCTCTCTCTCTCTCTCTCTATATATATATATATATATATATATATATATATATATATATATATATATATGTGTGTGTGTGTGTTCTGTAAATGTTTATATATATATATATATATATATGAGAGTTCAACTCTATTCAATCTTATCTCATTTGCTGACCTTATCTCATTTGCAGACAACTCAAAATGAAAAAAAAATCGTTTCGCTTCAAGTCTACCATATTGAACTTCTTTTCTCTTCCTTGTTTATTTACCGTTTAAGCAATCACACAGATTTCTTCCCTGCCTGAGTACGCGGGTGAAGGCAATGCATGCAAACGGATTAAGTTTTTATTGTTTTCTTTCGAAATTAATTTTCATTTTCAACTCGCAAAAAGACAATCTCTACTTATCCTGTTTATTTTCGCACGACTATGG